TGAACTCAGACAATTAGGAAGGATGAGGGCCTGGAGATTATAATGAGGATGAAAAGCAACTTCTGTGCAAGAGAGGCATGAGGGGCAGCCTCCAACAAGAGAAAGGGAATTTTTACCTTTTGAGATCCTGCAACTAGACCAGTTCAAGCGATACTTTACTCCCTCAGTTACTCATTCATTCGTGTGCCTGGAACTATGCTGGGGGCTAAAAACACAAAAATCTATTTGGAGATGTAGGGGATGCTCCTGAACTCACAGCCAACAAAAACAGGAGGTGAGGGGATGCAATGTGGCGGCCCCAGCACAGTGTTCTGTTTTGTTTTTCAATGGCCACGAATACCACTGGGTGGAGCATCCCCTCACTTCGCCATCACTCCCACCAAGCCCCACAGCTTTACACCCACTGCTTCACAAGTTTACTTACCCTGACTGGCAGGCATCTGGGCTTGCAACCACTGGACTAGCAGCTCTAGTCCCTTGTCACCCTAATATTCTTATACATACTTTCAGGTAATGTGTGTTTAGCACCAAATGACTGTTTTTTCCGTATTATCTCATTTTTACATTAATTTAACTTTTAATGGCCACTATTAAACTGCTATTCTGCCAAATGCCTTCAACCCACGCTACCTCCGACACTAAATCCTGAAATCCATCTACCTACCCCCAAAAGGACAATCTTTCCACTAAAAGACCATCTTTCACTGACACCTTTGCTAACAATCAAATAGCTTAGTTTTCCCTAATCTGACGGGGCAGAGATGCATAAATCAATTTTTATAGCCAGGGGCTTTTTACAAGTAGTTTTAAGAAGTGATGTCTAAGTTAACGATACAGTGTGGTAAAGTAGTATAAACCATTAGTTACATCCGGGGTCTGAGCCAGCCCGTCCCAGGGCCTGGCTAACCTTGTTTGGCTATATGATGCTAAGTATCCAAGATAACAGTTCTTCCTAATGCAGGCCCCACATTAAGATTTCAGGATAAGACCGCCAGCTGCTCCCTCCACTAGCCATGCTCTCCCTCTTCCTTGGTAATAGACGCTGATTATTAGCGGGGCCCAATGCCACCCAGAATAAAATCTTCCATCTCCCAGCCTCCCCTGCCCTAGCCGTGGCCATGTGACTTTACTCTGGACAATTAAGACAAGCAGACTTGTCGTGCTGGACTTCTGGGAGGTTAATGGGGGCCAACTCGGCCACAGGGGCACCTTTTTCTGTGCTTCTGCTTCTGCTCCTCCTTCAGGCCTGTGACAGGGACCAAACAGCTGGCATTTCAGCAGTCATCTTGGACCACAAGGCCACCCTGAGGATGCAGCCATGTACTGGGAAGACAGAGTGAAAACAGGAGCCTGGGTCCCTGCTGACACTGTGCAGATGCCCTAAAACCCTCCAGGCTTCCTTTGAAAGACAAATGAACGTATACCTTGCTTTAGCCATTGTTATTCTGTTTTGTTCTTTAGGTTATGTGCAGTCAAACCTAAACTTATTGCAGATTATGTACCAACATAGGATGCTATATGCTATACACATTTCACTGCCAGTAAACAGCAAATGATTCGTTTAAGTAGGTGACCAGGATAATACAGCACTTTAATAAATCACTTTTTACTGTACCTTTTGTAATAGCTAGATGTTTATCAATAACTACTTTATTTTTTCCACAAAGACAGCTCCCATATATACATATTCTTTTCTCTAGTGATTCAACGTCAACTAACATATAATTCATAGAATTCTGTCCTCACATGACAGTGACCAAAATCTAACTCTCTGGAACCCCTAATAAAAACCAAAAGAGGGCCGGCCTGTGGCTTAGCCGTTAAGTGCACGCACTCCGCTGCTGGCGGCCCAGGTTCGGATCCCGGGCGCGCACCGACACACCGCTTGTTGGGCCATGCTGAGGCCGCGTCCCACATACAGCAACTAGAAGGATGTGCAACTATGACACACAACTATCCACTGGGGCTTTGGGGAAAAAAATAAATAAATAAATAAATAAAATTATTAAAAAAAAAAAACCAAAAGAAACAGGCCAGTGTCCCCAGGTCTGCAAAACACAAAGAATTTATGACTCTCAAACTGGAGGCAAAGAAGTGACATTCTAAAATGATTTTCAGGGCTGGCCCTGTGGCTTGGCAGTTAAGTATGTGTGCTCCGCTGCTGGCGGCCCAGGTTCGGATCCTGGGCGCACTGACGCACCGCTTCTCTGGCCATGCTGAGGCTGCGTCCCACATACAGCAACTAGAAGGATGTGCAGCTGTGACATACAACTATCTCCTGGGACTGTGGGGGGGGAAATAAATAAATAAAATTAAAAAAATAAATAAATAAAATGATTTTCAAGTCATGCATACACAGCCATAAAATAACAATGGTGTCAGGGCGGCCTGGTGGCGCAAGCGGTTAAGTGCCCACGCTCTGCTGCGACGGCCCGGGGTTCGCAGGTTCGGATCCCGGGCGCACACTGACACACCGCCTGTCAAGCCATACTGTGGCGGCGTCCCATATAAAGTGGAGGAGGATGGGCATGGATGTTAGGCCAGGGCCAGTCTTCCTCAGCAAAAAAAAAAGAGGAGGATTGGCAGATGTTAGCTCAGGGCTGATCTTGCTCACACACACACAAAAAAAATGGTGTCATCAAGGCTGATGTTGGATGTACACAATCTCACCCATAGACAAATGTCAAGGAGCTACCCCAACTCACACATGAGGTTTACAGCAGGCGTCAACATCAACACCAACCATGCAGCCCACTGGACCACGCACACTTCTGGGCATAAACTGTCTTAACAGCTACTTTAAAATATCGCCCTACGTGTAAGTCCAACTCCTGCCACAATACACTGCACTTAAAGGCTCCCCCCCGGCAATCCTAAAACCCACTTAAGGACAAAGAAAGGACCAGTGCTTTGTCTCCTAGATGACAGAATGACATTCAGGTCTCTTGCCATCTCCTGCAAACAGCAGAACCTTGGCATGTTAGCTTTTCCTTCACAAGAGCCTAGACTTCCAAACAGAAATCTTATAAAAGGTAAACCCTTGTATTTATAGCTTGAAATTACATCCAAACTTAAAACTTCATAGAGGAAATTATTAACTTGCACAATTCCATCATCCTAGCCCACATTTTCACATGGGCTCAATTAGGTAAGGTTAGAGCACTTTGCCTCGCTCTCCCAGCCTGATAAGGATGTTAGAAAAAAGAAAAAAACTCAGCTTCTATATCATATTTTCTACCAACACACCTGCTTATTCTCATCCCATCATCCAGAGCAATCTCTAGGTAGAAATTACTTTAAAAAGTGATCACTAGGGGCCGGCCCAGTGGCACAAGCGGTTAAATGCGCGTGCTCCGCTGTGGTGGCCCAGGGTTCGCCGATTCGGATCCCGGGCACGCACTGACGCACCGTTTGGCAAGCCATGCTGTGGCGGCGTCCCATATAAAGTAGAGGAAGATGGGCACGGATGTTATCCCAGGGCCAATCTTCCTCAGCAAAAAGAGGAGGTTAGCAGATGTTAGCTCAGGGCCAATCTTCCTCATTAAAAAAAAAAAAGTGATCACTAAAAGTTTTAATTTATGTAATACATTTAAAAAACAGAATTTTGGAGGAAGGATGAGAATAATTATATGATGGAGAAAGAGAATAATAGCAAAAGGAATACCAGATTTTATTTTATGGAACTTAAATCCTTCATATGCATCACATCTAAAATACATATTTAATGTTCCATACTCTCACAAGGATAAATTTTTCTATTATTAAGGGGGGAAAGGGTGCAGGTAGATGAGATAAGGGTAATAAAGGCTATTTTAAAGCAAACTGGAAAGGATATTTGAATATATATAAACCATGTATGCTTTAAAATGCCTAGAAGGATATGTCAAATGTAAGTTATACACCCTGAAGGAAAACATTATGGGTTATCTTGCTCTTCTTTTTGTTTATCTACACTGTCTAATTTTTGTACAACAAAAACACTACTTATATAATTTTAAAATGTATTTTTTAAAGTAAACAAATTCACAATAGCACCAACAGAAAAATAAGTCACATCTTGAACAGCTCAGAACAAAACAAAGTCTGAAGGATTTCTGGGCTCAAAGCTGGAGGATGCAGAGAGTGAAGTTCCGGGGGCCCAGGCCACCTGCAGAGTCCTAACGCCCTTCTCTCTGCACAGGATGCTCAAAGGGATTTTAAGCACATACCATTTAGCAAGGTGTATCCTCTCTACCACTCAGTCTAGGCCAGAGAGAGCACAGATTACCACACAAAAGAAGCATATTCCCAGTGCCTGCTGATTCAGCCAAGGAAAGAGACTGAAGTTTCTACCAACTCACCATTTAATTATGTCTAACACTTGCTTTACAATCCAGTTTATGGATTCTGGATGTTTAACAGTTACTTCTCAGTTCCTGCTATTAAACACTAAGTAGTTACAGCAATTAATTAATACCACCCCTAGGCTATCAGGAGGTGCGTAATACTACCATTAGGTCATTTTCTCCAAACTGACACTGTCACCTGAATCAGCCTCACAGCTTAAACGATGCCCCTCCTTTTTATAGCCTTTGTCCGGCAGGTACCTCAAGTTGCAGTGTTTAGGCAGAAATGCAAACAGGTGGTATAGGTTTGCCTTTTGTCTATTGTTCCACCAAAGTGGAAAACTCCTTTTGTGATTACAGACACACTTCCCTCAAGTGGAACAATAAATTTATACGGTTTTTTTGCACAGTACATCAGAGTTACACATTGCCAATCTTGCCTGCTAATATGAGCTCAGAATTATCCCAAACCCCTCAGATGCCTCATTCTTCTCTCCCAAAACCAATTTTTCCTAGCACTCACTCCACCCCCACATCTCAGTTCAAGGATGGAATGGTTCTAAGCCAGGAGTTTCACTGCCCACTAATATTCTGTTAGGATTCCACTCCAACGAAAGCCATGGACTGAGTCTGAAAGTGCTGTTAACCCCGCCAGCCCCACCTCTTCCTACTCACTGTTGCTGGACTTAAGGTCACGGTGGATGATGGGGACAATGGCCTCATCGTGTAAGTAGTTCATCCCTCTGGCAATCTGCACGGCCCAGTTCACCAGGATGTCCGGGGGAATCCTCTTCCCAGATAACACTCTATTCAAAGGCCCTCCACGGGCAAATTCCATGACCAAGCAGAGGTTGGGTTCCTTCAGACACACCCCCCTCAGGGCAATGATGTTGGGGTGCCTCAGCATGGCGAAGAGCTTGGCCTCCTGGCGAACATTCTCTATGGTCTGGCTGATGTCCTCATCTGGGTCGTGGCGAGCTGCTTTCACGGCGACCTCATCCCCTATCCAGAAAGCACGATAGACCTTCCCAAAGCCCCCGATGCCAATGATCTCTTCCAGGGTTAACTCTGCAAAATCAATCTCTAACACTGAGAAAGAGAAGAAGAAAAGAAGCAAGTCAAAAACTTTCTGAGAAAACCACTGAATCACCCATTTACCCGGATGGGCAAACACAGCAAGTTGGCTACTCACCTGGCTCTTCTGTCTCCCCACTATAAGGTAAACTCCATGAGGGCAGGGAATGCGATTAACTTATTTTCTGTTGCATTGTCCTTAGTGACTAGCACAGGGTAGGCATTCATTAAATATTCATGAAATAATTTCCACTTGGAACACCATGCAGAATCTTGTACCGAGACCAACCATTTTAACGAAAGGGAACATTAGGGGAGATCGTTCTTATGAGACTTATTCAGATTTCACTGTGTACTAAGTGGTGAGAAGCATACAATTCAGTGCCAAGGCAGACACAAAACAACCAAATCGTAGTAAGAAAAGAGCTTCTGGAGCGATATGATCGGAAGATTAGGAAAATCACAAACTCCCACCACGGGACAGGGATTAAGAGGCTGTGTGTGGAAAGGATTCACAGGGAAGGCAACATTTGAAATGGGCCCTAAAGAATGAGTGGGGGGGATGTCACCAGGCAGAGAAGATCCAGGTGGACAATCCAGGCAGAAAGAAGATCATGAGCAAGAACATGGGGCATGAGAGTACACGGCCTACTGGGGACTTCAGGGAGTCCAGTGCAGCTGATTATACGCATTAGGAGAGGAGATGAGGCTCAAAGCCTTGCTGGAGTCAGCCAGTCATGAAGTGTTTTTAAAGCCATTCTGAAGGGCGTGGACTTCACGCTGTGAAGGATAGGATCATGTATTTTAAGAAAGAGAGTGTTGTTAGGCATGTGAATTAGAAAGGAAACCAACTCTGGCAGCCATGTGGAATATAACCTGGAGGACAGAGAGCCCACAGCAAAAGGAAACACTACAGAGGCCACTGCAGTAACTCAGGCACGCAAGCACGGGGGTCTGAACCTCAGCAGCAGTGAAGGCGGAGAGTATGGAGCAAATTGGGAGACTTTCAAAACCTGGTTCTACCAAGACCTGGTGACTAAGATGTGCAGGAAAGGAGCCTCACAGCAGACGTCTCACTCCAGCTCCATCCCTGGTGTTCCCAGTATCACAGCCAACCACCCATTCTCCTTCCCAAATCCAGAGTTTGAATCTAAGGTACAGGATTACATCATTAGCTCTGTTTGGAAAGGGTTCCATGTACAGATAATAATAGCTGCCAGTGATTATAAATCTTGGGTTAGATATGGTGTCGCCAGATGAGCAAAGTACTATTTTATGTTTCTTTCATGAAACCTTCTTCTCTATCTTCTCAGTCTCTTTGTCTTTACCTGGCTGACTCACACTCATCCCTCAGGTCTCAGCTTAAACATCAATTTCCTAGAGACCTTTTCCTAACCCCCAACTAAATGAGGTCAGGCCTGGATCAAATACTTCCACAGAAGTCTCTATTTGGCAAGACTCATCAAGGTTATAATTACTTGTTCATGCTCGTTGTCCTGCTAGACTGAGAGATCCACAGAGTGAATCTGCCTTATTCACCACTGTACTCATCGTGCGGAACACTCAGCAGGTGAACAGTGGACGGTGAAACAAAATGGGGAAAACAATCTACCTCAGTAGGGAATAAACCAAACTCAGATCTGGAGGAAAAAAAAAATTGAATTAGACTTCTTGAAACAAATACAGCAAATAATCACACTTTGCTAAATAACTAAGAAAACAAAGACATATTTCTGAACTTTTGGCAAGACCAAAAGAGGATCTGCCCACTGCTGGCTGTTCCCTTCCTCAGCCAGCTCCACGACGCCTCCATTCTCCACTTAGATGCTGGTGGTGCTCAAAACTCTGTTCTTGCTTAATTCTAGTACTTCTATCCTATCTAGGGCTACTATTTCATTTGTATTTTGTAATGCAACTGGCATTACACAAAAGAAACTCTTAGGAAAAGTTAGTTGGACTGTCTTTACGTATACAAAAAGTATAACCCTTCTTGACTCCAAAAGTTCCAATTGTTCAAGCTTATCACCTCATCTAGCACTCTTCTTGAAGAATAAATGGTGTGGCAGGTCCTGCAGACTAACAATCAACATCCATTCTAAAATCCTTCTAGCATGCCTTTCAGTACTACAGAGGCCAGAAAGATAAAAACTACATTTCCCAGACTCCCTGACAGCTAGAGTTCTGGATGCAGATTAGATTCTGCCAATTAGATGCACAAGATTTGGAAGGCAGAGGTGAGACAGAGACCATCTTCTTGCTGCTTCTCCTGGCAAGCATGGCTGGGGAGGAGCGGGATTTTTCTCCAACAGCACATCAGTGTCTAACCATTAGTTCTGTGGATGTGGAAACAAATGTTGCAAGGCCAAGTGGTTGCCTAATCTCTGGACAGCATCTACAACAGGGTGTTCTTGAAGTCAAACAGCTTCAATGGCAACTCCTGATTCTGTACCTTCCCAATTAGGGAAGTAGCAGCTTGCCTGGTGGGCGGGGTCTGCAGTGTTCTGGGAGCAGTTCCCACAGGTCTAGCTGACAGCCCCTTCTCCCTGCCCTTCCAACAATTCTGTAAGCACCTAATTTCCTGTGCTAAATCACTTTCTACTTAAAATAGCTTGAGTGTTTCTGGGTCCTCAAATGAATTCTGACTTTTTACTAATTCTTGCCTTATCTCATCTATATGAATGAGAAAAATATGCCTATGTTAAAGAGAGATTAGAAACCCTCTTGGAGAAATATGTAAGTTACGTTAGGAGTCTCCTTGGTCATGGAGGGAAGAAACATTCATTTTCCTACCAGCTTTCACACTGATGAAAAGATATGTGCCTGTTTAACAAATTTGCATTCACCCATCTTATTTCCTCAACTGAATATCTGAATTCTCCTTAAAGGAATCAACTGTTGTATTTTCTCTTATACATTCCCTTCCTTCCTCTGGTCTGAAGCATAGTTGTGAACACACAGGAAATTTAAATATAGATATCTTTAAAGATATCTTTAAATGTTTATTTTAAATGTATGAGAATTTAGGGGGCTGGCCTGGTGGCATAGCGCTTAAGTTCATGAGCTCCGCTTCTCTGCTTCAGTGGCCCGGGGTTCACCGGTTCAGATCCTGGGCACAGACCTCCACGCCGCTCATCAACCCATGCTGAGGCAGTGTCCCACAAAGAGGAACTAGAAGGACCTACAAGTAGGATATACAACTGTGTACTGGGGCCTTGGGGAGAAAGAAGAAAAAGAGGAAGATTGGCAACAGATGTTAGCTCAGGGCCAATCTTCCTCAAAATAAAAAAAAGTATGAGAATTTAAAAGATGCAATTCTGAACTAGGGTGCTGAAAGGACAGCTCCTCCGACGGCATTTCACGGAAGACAGAAAACCCCATGGGGAGGGAAAGCAATAATCTCTCTGTGGGAGAACATAAACCCTCATGTTCTTACTGTTCAGTTAAGGAAATATTATGACCAGCCTTCAAGAAAAGTATAGAACACAGCTTTCAAGCAGACAGAAGACAGAACGGCAGCGGGGGAGGGAGAGGATGCTTTTCCTTGTAGGAACTAGACCTTCAGCTGCAGCCGAGAGGATGTGGGGCTCTCCTTCCCTTCCCCGCTCCAATCAAGACCTGGTTTTAAGTAAGAATCAGGTCAAGTTGCACTCAGCATATTTTTCAGTTTCTGTGGAAGGATATTTCCAGGAATGTCAGGAACAAAACCTTATATCTTTCATTTTCAGAGTCAAGATGTTATTCTCTCGCAATTGTATCCTTGGAAACTAAATGTATAGGCACATTCTGGTGGGTTTTGGGCAAGTGATGGTACATATCTCACTTATCTAAAAATCTTAAGTACATTTGAAAATACATCCTTTTATTTCTAGTGGATACAAGAAAAAGAAATGTAAATTAGTAATAACCTTAATTTATGCCCTGCTTGAAAACAAACACAACTCTCCTGTAAGAGAAACTTTTTTTTAATACCTGGGATTATATATCTCCCAAGATGACAAATTTGGAATTGTAAATTTTTCATCTTTCACTAAAATAAAAAAGAAGAGCAAGCTCCTAGATTATTTATATTTGTCAGTCCCATGGAGCGCTGAACTCATATATGTATATTGGAGGTGATAAAAGCACTATATAAAGTTAAGTGATTTATAATATCACTAATTTTTTTATTTTATTTTTTGCTGAGGAAGATTCGCCCTGAGCTAACATCTGTGCCAATCTTCTTCTATTTTGTATATGGGTCACCACCACAGCATGGCTGGTGAGTGATGTAGGTCCACGTCCGGGATCTGAACCCGCGAATCTGGACAGCTGACGCAGAACACACAGAACTTTAACCACTATGCCACAGGGCCCGCCCTATTTTATTTTTTCTTTGTCACAAGATATAGTCATTTCCCCCTCTTCTGTTTTGAATAAAGTTTGAAACAAAATTTTCACTTTGAAAAGCAATATTTAAAACTAAAACAGAACATTATTACTTGACTAGTGTCGTCTTTTTTTTTTTTTTATAATTTTATTTATTTATTTTTTCCCCCAAAGCCCCAGTAGATAGTTGTATGTCATAGCTGCACATCCTTCTAGTTGCTGTGTGTGGGATGC